ACCTTGGCCGGACAAGACAAAGTGCTCATTGACTGAAAGCTGAATAGCTTGGCCCAGATCTGTGATTTTGGATGCGTGATTTTAGTTCGAGGTATTAAATAAGCTTCCTGGCTTTCCTGTAAGTGGTAATAAATTGCAGAAGCCTGTCCTGCACCATCAGGGCTCCTGGAAGCTCTTTGTCCACTCGGGCACAGGGTGTGATGTCCCAGCTCTATCACCCATTTAATGTCGATTAATTATTATGGCATAGAGCAGGGCATGGGAAAATGGGACTCTTGGGTGACAGAGACAGTAAAGACAAAGCCCACCATGAAATTCTTAGTGTCTCTTCCTTCTTTATGGCCAGGAAATGCTTTTAGCTCTTGCTGCAAAGGGCAATTGGTGTTTTAGAGGGAAGGCTGTTAATGAACGGAGTGTTCTCATTTAGTAAGTGGGATGCAGAGGGTTCTGGGTCCCAGGGTGAGCAGGGGATCAAGGTGGGTAGCACGCAGCTGAGGACCACAGTGATGGAGTGACCCACGTGTGACTCCAGTCTGTGGATGCGCTAACCCATAAATGCCTACAGTAGATGGAAAAGGCAGCTGATAAATCTGTCCCTGGAAAATACAGCATCTTCTGGTTTTCTGCAACTTCCCTAAATAACATTGTAAAATTCAAGCAAGACAGATGATGCTGAGCAATTTTCCCCACTGAAAACCAGTCGACTGCCTAAATCCAGAGCTGAGCCCTGGGGTCCTCGCTGGGGTTTTTGGCTGCCTCTCGCAAAGGATTTAATGGGAAGGGGAGGAAATGCCCAACTAGTGTTCTATGGCGAGTTCAGGCAGGTCTGAGGAGTGACTCAGGGGGAAAGCATTGCTCTGCGGGAGGAACTGAGGCCGGATCCTGCCTGCAGGGGCCACTCTTTGAAGTATGCAACGGTATTAGACCGGATAAAGGTTCAAATCTGAATCAGAAAAGATGCAGCTGAGTGTTATTCTTAGGAAGTTATCTAGTCCTTTCTCGGCAGAGAGGATGCTTGTGGCTTCTCTCTACCTTGCTGAAGCCCAAAGCTCTTTAGAATGATTGAAATAAGATTTTTTTCCCAAATAAATCATAAAAGCAAGCACCTGACTGCAAGGAATGAAGCCATAAACCTCCCCTTTGTGAGCGTTGCCAAGATCTCTCAATAACACACTGCGTGTTTTTCACAGGATGCCAGACGTACATGGACATAATCATAGTCCTGGATGGATCAAACAGCATCTATCCTTGGGTTGAAGTTCAGCACTTCCTCATAAACATCTTGAAAAAGTTTTATATTGGCCCTGGCCAGATACAAGTAAGACCCTGCACAACTCATGTGTCCCCCGTGTGCCACTCAGAGTCCCCTGGCCATGCTTTCAAAATGAACTTTCAATTTATGGATTTTAAAGCTGAGCCTATGGAAATAATGCTTCCATTAGGGAGCTATGGAGAGAGCAGCACCCCCCATGCCAGCCAGGCACAGGAACGTGCAATCCTATGGAAATATAGACTTATGTCCCTGTGCCAAGGCAGCTGTGAATTGCTTTCCCTCCTCTTCCTATAAGTAATCATGGGCTGATTGGGGCAGGGATTTGTGCGTATATCAACACAAATAACCCCAAGTTTAGTCCCACCCTGAGATGCCGGGGGTCCACACTCAGACACAGCACATCTGCATCACCCCAAATCTTTATAGCAGGGGAGGGGGGGCTGTGCACGGGTGAGAGCTGGCAGAGAATAGAAATAAAACTAAGCATTATCAGTGGCCCCATAGAGGGAAACCTGGAGCAAACGGAGACAGAGAGATTGATCTTTAACAGTGGCTGCTATTTTATGTGGTTGACCAAGTGTGCAGCCCCTGGCTATACAGCAGGTTGTTGGCATCTTTTCTGATATTCCTTTAATCCCCAGGTTGGAGTTGTTCAGTACGGGGAAGACGTCGTCCATGAGTTTCATTTAAATGACTACAGGTCTGTAAAAGATGTGGTTGCAGCTGCCAGTCACATAGAGCAAAGAGGAGGTACAGAAACCAGGACTGCCTATGGGATAGAGTTTGCTCGGTAAAAACCACTCACCTTCCTGTTCATTCTGATAACAAGTTTAAAATCATCATTTATTTTAATTCCCTCTTCCCTCTTTGCTGTTTCTTGCTGCTTAGAAAGCAGGAGGTGCCACCAGGCTAAAAATGCTTCTGCAAAAATGCTTGGTCCTCAATTAGTGCTTTACAAATGATACCCTGCAAAACTGCAGCTGGACCAGAAGGAATCATAGGAATCCTAGAGGGGTTTGTGTTGGAAGGGACCTTAAAGCTCCTCCAGCTCCAACCCCTGCCACAGGCAGGGACACCTTCCACTAGAGCAGGGTGCTCCAAGGCCTGCGTCCAACCTGGCCTTGAACACTGCCAGGGATGGGGCAGCCACAGCTTCTCTGGGCACCCTGTGCCAGCGCCTCAACACCCTCACAGGGAAGAGCTTCTGCCCAAGAGCTCATCTCAATCTCCCCTCTGGCAGGTTAAAGCCATTCTCCCCTGAAGGCACAGAGGCAGGCTGAAAATGCTTTCTCTCTCTGAAAGCACCCAGAGCTGAGCTCTCAGCCCCCAAATGCAACCCCACATCTGCCCCAGCCACTGCAGCTCTTTGCAGACCCCCATAGCATGCCCACAAATTCAGTACAATCATGGCCCACAGCTCCATCTCCTCCATTATCTGGGATGAGTCCCTGCTCCTGCACTTTCTACCACAGTGCAGACCCCCATAGCATGCCCACAAATTCAGTACAATCATGGCCCACAGCTCCATCTCCTCCATTATCTGGGATGAGTCCCTGCTCCTGCACTTTCTACCACAG